AATATGGAGGGATTGGAGCATAGCTGAGCCACTGTGTGAGAGCTGAGCAGCCAAAGGAAATTAAGTGAGGAGCGGCTCTCGCTCAATGGGAGTCGACTCTTCTGATTCACTACAAAGCGCTCTGTAAGCACAGCTCTTAGAGCTGATGCTTTTGTGCATGACACATTATCGAACATTACGTTGTGTGTCATGGATACTGTTGATTCCAAATCTCCTGACCACTATATCGATCTGAGACAGCGAGACCGAGACAGTGAGACCAAGACAAAACCAAGACCAAAGTCCGTCGAGACCAAGGCAAGACCAAGACCACATAAAAGTGGTCTTGAGACTGGTCTTGAGACATCCAACTCTAGTCAGATCAAAGTCCCTGACAGCCATGTCCACGGCCCAGATGTGTTCTCTGAATCTTCAAACAGAACTTTCTCCATGTATTTGAGTCTGTGAAAGTCCACTGAAGTTGGCAGACTTTTCCCAGGTTTCATTTAGTTCAGCCTCCCACTGCTTCCTTTTATAGTCCGTATTTGTTTAGACACCTGAATTCCAGTATAAAGTCTGGAAACCACAACATTGTGCTGGTCTCATTAATGTCTGACTTTTTCTAAACCATACTTATTTTGTAAAGCTGCAGAACTCTTAAATAACACCTTGTGGAGAAGTGAATATAGCACGTGAGCCTCAAAGGGACCGGTTTTTAAATCTGTCGTCACTTTTGTTGGGAACAAAGTCAGAATCGTGGGTGCACCATCTCAGCATTTTGTTTGGGTTACCTAGTTTACAAGTGTTAAATACAGTTTTCAGGGCATTACACTGACAATCCAGTACAGAGCTTTTCTGAAACCTTCAACTCATCCTGTAGTTTACCATCAGCCAGGAGGGCCATAACAGGAATACCTTCACAGATGCCCCCTCTATTTCTTTCCAGCCGGATGTGTAAGACGATGAACATATACACATTAATGGTCTCATCTGGGCAGCGCAGTAATCGTCCCATAGACATGGAAGGCCCATTCCCCCTTGTACCCACATAGCAGGCAGCTCTGGCCCGGATCTGGTGTCAAGCCGGCACTGCTGGCTGACTTCTGGCATGGTAAATGGTATGTCATCCAGATATGGGCCAGGCCTGGCGTAGATGGCACTGTTTATGTGATGGCATGCCACATCTGGCCTGATTGTGGTTTGGTGTATGTGGCCCAGGCTCACAGAAAACAGGTCGTCCCTGGATCCGGCATCAAGCTGGCACTTCTGACTGACTGGTGTCATGGCAGGGTGTATGTCAGCCAGATGTGTGCCAGGTCTGGCTGTCACGGTCTGTGAGGGCAGAGGGCAAGAGGGCAGGAGGCAAAACTGGTCAGCTCGAAGCGAGCCTTTAATCAGGGCTGATACAAAATAACAAACCATAAACTATGGGAATGACAAAACTAAGAACCTAACTGAGAGAAACTAAGGGCTATGAACGAAGACCAGGACTGAACTATGACAAAGTACTGTAGACAGACTATGAACACGACATGAAAAACTGAACAAGATCTCGGTGCTGGCACATGAAGGTGCAGGGAAACATGACTGGAGAAAGTGACTATGAACATGTCCGATACCGACTCTTGCAGGCTAGAATCATGACGTGCAGCTAGAGTAACAGGGTGCATGAACAGACGGCGCGACACAGACTGAATGAAACACAGAGACTAAATACCCACAAGGATGATTAGGGGAAGAGGCCACACATGGGAGCACAGCTGACATGCATAAACCTAATGACAGGACAGGGGAAGTGAAACTAAATACAATAAACAAAGAACGCTGGACTCTTTCAAAATAAAACAGGAAACATGGAGATTAAACATGACATGAACTTAACATAACCACACAGACATGAAACATGACAGGTAGACACACGAACCAGGGAGACTGAGTACAGGGGGAGATGACAGAAAACAACTAAGTAATAAAGGAATAAACAGCAACCTAGAAATTAACTAGATCAAAAATGAATACAAAAATACATAAAACTCAAACACTGGGTCACACGACCCAGTACCGTGACACTGGCAATGATGGCACTGTTTGTGTTCCTATTTTCCTATTTTAGTTAGAAGACTGAAATGCCATGTTGCAATACGGTACTGCTACGGTAGCCAACGTTTCAAATGCAGGTTTGACAGGCTTGTGAGTGTACACTTTATCCAAAACCTAGTGAGGGTTTACTTATGCTTGCCAGTGGGTGGCTGTAGCTCAGGAGGTAGAGCAGGTCACCTACTGATTCAGACGGTTAGTGGTTCGATCCCTGGCTCCTCCAGGCCGCATGTCAGCAGTATGTCTGCAGCTGGCCTTTGTGCTGGCCCATGTGTGGGCCACCTCTGGCAAACCAGATCTGGGCCACCAAAGGGCCATCATTCTTTGCCGTATGTGGGCCATGTGTAAGCACATTGTGTGGGCCAGATCCGGGCCATTACTATTTTGCTATGTGGGTAGTGTTTTATACCTGACCCTGGCTCTCTTCCCACAGATGTCTCTAAAGTAGTCTGTCCCATTCTAGAAATTGTTTGAGTGATCTTGGGAGGCACTGAAAATAATAAAGCATGTGTGAGAGAATGTTCATTCTGACGGACTCTATCCGAGAACTCAAAGTCAAAAAGGGGATGCCACCATTGAACATCTGACTTTATGTTGAACCGCAAACATTTTAGAACCCCGCAGGGTAACCCCCAAACATTTAATAGACTCATTATCCCACTTCCAATTATAGTTCATTCTTAGTTCTTTCGATGGGTTAAAGTAAACTTTAGTTTATGTAAAATATTAATTTTATACCGAGAATATTAGTCATATTCTTCTAACATGGTCATCAACTTTGGGAGTATTTGGGTAGGTTGTGCTAAAGCTAACAGAAGATCAT